TCCCCAGAAAATTTAAACATGAACAAAATTTTTGTATAATCATGTGGCTATAAATGGCAAAATCTCACCATGTTCAAAAAATTCGTGAAAACTCTAAAAACAAAAATGAATAAAAAAACTCCACTTCCATTCTTCTTATACCGCAGCAACACACGACAGGTTAGCTAATTTTTTTATAAATTTACTAAAACAGTCGTAAAACGATTGAAATACGAAAGATGATTTTGTAATAATTACCTTGGATATATAGGGTTAAAAATTCAAGAGTGTAATTTACTGATTAATTGAATATGCAAATTAAATTATTGAATTTTGTTGTTTTAAGAGGAAAATTCATGTACAAAACTACAATATTTTTGATAATGATATTCACTACTATTACACCCAAAACTTCCGAGACACCAATAAATCTATTGAAAACAGATTTTAGAAAAAATCTATGTGCAACTCCAATTATAAGATGGCAACTCTTTTGTGTATTCCATGTTATGTAAAGAAATTTAATAATGTAACTAAAAAATATTTCTATTGTAAATCTATATAATAATTCCTATATAAGTATATAGCTTATTTATTCTTATATACATAGCTGTAATATTTAATAATGTAATTTTTCATCTGATTTACTCTTATAAAATCCTTTAAAAATTCATATTCTTAAATCAAAATGTGCATATTTTATGTAAATATGAAAATTTTAAATATAATTACATTCTTAGTACATATAGGTATACATACTTAAATGTATGTATGTATTTTGAACATTTTGAGTGAGTGCAATAAGATATTTAATAGAAAATGCATTTTTGGATATTGTGAACCCTTATTTCTTGAACTATTTATATTATAATTGATTACATTACGTATATATGAATTCTTTTATACTTGAACGAACTTATATGCAATTGCAATACGCCACAAAATTAACAGTAGAACACAAATCATTCGATTTAAATCTAATTCAGAATTTAAATTTAATTTTAAAAAACTTAAAGCTTTGTATATTTTAATTCTTATCTTGGAAATTCGAGTAAAATTAAATTTGACAGGAAATATATATATACCTAGAAGCGAGCTTTCATAGCGCCATTTTGGAATAAAATTAGTTTGTTTTACAGAAACACAAACAGCACACAAATTTCGAATTAGCAATTAAAATAAAAACTACCAAATTCAAATTCAGTGCTCGAATTTATAAAATTTTTCGTTACATCGATATACAAATTTGAGTCACTATTATACGTGTTGAACTAGCGAATATAGGTGTCATAGGGTTAAATGAATCACCATACTTTTTGTGTTCGTATAATGTACTTAATAAAATTTGCCTTATAAAATTTTAATAAAGTCCAAAATATTGAAAATTTTTGATGGAATTATGCAAGCAAGAATTCAAAATTCATAAAATGAGGTTTTTTTTTTTAAATTCTAATATTTATGCCATAACTCTCCTTTTTAGCACTTTTCCAAAAAAATTTTTGAAAAAAGTGCTTATTAGTTTCACTCTGTCCGTCCGTCCGTCCGTCCGTCCGTCCGTCCGTCCGTCCGTCCGTCCGTCCGTCCGTCCGTCCGTCCGTCTGTCCGTGTGTCTGTTTACAAAACTTCTACACCCTTGAAGATAGAAAGCTGAAATTTCATACGTACATAGATCTTCACTAGAAACTTATTTACGTAGAACAAAATTTTTACTTATCTCCCCCCCCTCTAGAAGTTATACCCCCCCAAAACCCTAAAAATGGCCATTTTTAAATATTTGTTGCAATGAAACCATAAGCATTTTTGAAATTTTGCAAACGCAGAAAGGCAGTGGCTTGCTTCTCCTTGCGCGGTATTTTATATTTAAACTTTAGAAAAACAAAATGGCCGTTCAAATTTACCGTTATCTAAAGTCCTTTTTTTGCAAATTTTTGATGTCGTTTTTCTTCTAGACCCCAGCCTGTAGAAGCTTGAAATTTTAGGAGCTTTTAGACATTAACAAATAGTTCATTTTGTTACAAGAAGATTTTTTTCCATCTTCACCCCCTCTCAAGTTATCACCTCTTGAAATTCGTAAAATTTGAATTTTTGACGCCTTATATTTCCGAAACCGCAAAGTTTTCCAAATTTTTATAAACGCAAAATGCTAACGGTAAATTCCATGAAATTAAAAAATATAATTATTTTTCTTAACTCACACAATTAACCCTTAAAATCGAGCATTATGTTAACCCCTTTTTATATTAATTTTTGCTTTATTTCAAAGACTGCATATATGCGTCATCCTAAATATATGCAATCCTAGAAATAGTTTTGTATATGAATGAAAATAATTTTAATAGTGTGATAGCTATACATAGACTGTATTTAAAAGCAGAATTTTTACTTGTTGAAGGGAAAAGTGCTTCAATACAAACCATTGGTTTGACCCAACTTTATTATTATTGGAGTATTATGCATGGGATGCACATTTAGGATTAAAAAATTATAAATGCAAAGATTTTTTTTTGTTTTTTGTATACCAGCAAAAATTATAATAGAAAAAGTTTTTCTATTATTGGCATAAAGCCAAAAACTAAGTGAGCAGTTCATATTTTGCTTTCTCGTTGTTCTTCCATTTTTGTTCATTTTTAAATATTGTTGCCAAATTAAATGAAAATATTTTATACACATTATGTGTATATGTATGTAGGTATAATGTACAAAAATAACAATATTTCCGCAACATTTTTTAATTGAATTGTGAAAAATTTTGAATTTTTATTGAATATTTTTTATTTGTTTTACTTGTTTCAGAGTCACAAAAAAAAGAAAAAAATTTATCAACTTTTAACCAACCCAGACTTATTTGTTTTCCTTTTTCTATTTTTAGGGATAATAAAAATATAATAAATTAAAGTAACATCCACAATTATACAAAAGAAGAAAATGAGAAAGGATTTATTTTTTATAGAAAATAGGAAAGGAATAAAAAAAATTGTTGAAAATAATTAATTATTAAAAACACATTGAGGGGGGCAGGGGAGAATTTGTATTTGTAATAAATTAAATTTGAAATTTTATTTTGCCATCGGAATATTTTTGAAGAATGAGTTGAATTTTGCTACAAACCAAACAGTTTCTCCGGTTTTTTTTTTTTGGTTGTAATTTGTTTTTGTTTTAGTATGGTTACTTATTTAATATTGATATATTTTTTTAACACCATTAATAGCACCATACAGATATTTCAAAAATACAAAAAAAAAAAACAATAAAATTTATTTTGTTGGAAAATTTGAATAGAAAATTGAGGTCATCCACATTATCCAATGTCCTAGATATTATTGAAAATAAAAATTTAATTTTTTTTATTTAAATGGTAAATTTTTTTTTCTTCTTGTAATAGTAACCAAAACCATCCTACTGTTGTATAAATTGTTATTGGAATCGGTTTTTAAATAATTTATTCTTTAAATAATTTTCTTGAAGTTTTTTTTATAACTTAAGACAGATTTTATGGGAATCATCGCCGGATCTACTATATATGCAAAATAAGCATCTGCAACGGGTGCCGGAAAACGGGGCCGGCTAAAAAAAACTAAATTTTAAAAAACAAAAATATTTTTTCAATTTTTTTTATTACATGATGTCGAAAATTTTTGTTTCTATTTAAAGCTAAATCAACTGGATATAGCATCTTTAAACGTAACCTATATACAAACATTGCAAAATATGAAATTTTAATTGAAACCTTCAATTTTTTGACTAATTTTACATTCAGTATGATACAGTTACAAGAAAGTGATACGCAATGTGCAACTTCTATCAAATATTGTTCACTGCTTTGAAAGGGGGAAGGAAGTGTTTTTTTGAAAACCACGTAAAGCACTTAACAATTTAGAGCCGGGGTTGATAGGAATAGACAGATTTATTAAAATGAAACCGAAAATTTTACGACCTTCTTACGATTTATGCTTTCTATAAGGGCTATGAATTAAAAGGAAGTGACAATTTTTTTATAGCTGTACGAACGTACGAACGTATATAGACTCAAGTGTATGTTTTTGAGCCGCGTCGAATTCTGAGTTGATTTAGCAGTTCACCAAATTTTCACAAATGATTTATTGTAGTAAGTGCCAGAACCCTATTTAAATTGGACATGATCGGAGTACCGATTCGGGTAGCTGCTATAAAACTTCCTTCCTTAAAATTCCTTAAAATTGCTTGGTTCTTTCTGGTAGCTGCCATACAACTTCAATAGTAATTTGGCACACACAGTATTTTGAAAAAAAAACAGTACTGAAATTTTGCATAAATTAATATGGTTCTACGGCAACTTAAAGTCATAGTCTGTCCCATAGTCTGTCCCATTCTCGTTTTGATTTGAAAATAATAGTTTGCAAATTTGGAGTGTGTTTACAGGAACTAATTAAATTTTAAGATTTTTATTTGTCTTTCATGAATTACAATTAAAATAAAAATAAAATTGAATCAAAAATAAAATACAAATTGGGGACTGTAACGAAAACGCAGTGCACATCTTTTGCGACTGCCAGGTACTGGCTGTCCGATGTTAAAATTGTTTGAACAGGGTCTCCTAAGCATTTGCAAGCAAACCCCCCGGTTCACCTGAATTTTTTATCATGCGGCAAAAATAGCATCAGAACAAGTAGGAACACAAAAATTATTTTAAAAAGCCACAATATTGAAATTTATTAATTTAATGAAATCTCATTTATTCAGAATATTTTGAGTTAAAATTTATTTTTTATTTGTGACACGTGTTCCAAAAACACAAATTTATATAAAATAATATAATTTTCTATTTTACTGAAATAGTCACCTAAATTATATAATAGAAAACACGAAAAATATCTAATTCATTAATCAAAAGTTGAAAAAAATAAAAAATAAAATCCTTTTCATTAAATTTTAATTGCATTTCTCATTTCAAATTTCCAGTTCATAGTACATACGCAAAATTGCTTGTATTTGTATTTAGAGCAAAAAATAAAATAAAAAAAAAACAAGTTGAATTTACTCACCATCTGGTAATTCATATAATTTTTTTGGCAACTGTGCAAAATATGGATGTCGTAACGCTTCATCAGCTCCTAATCTTTGTTCTGGATTTAATTGTAGAAAAGCACTTGCTATCGCCTCACCCTCAACAATATCATATAACCTAGGAAAACTATGACCTAATTTACGTGGTCTATAAAAACCTGTAAAGAAAAATTTGGAACACAAAATTATTATTTATTTATTACGAAAATGTGTGTCATTTTGTATGTGGCACAATATGTATAAATTGAATTAAAATTATGTACGCGTTTTTACATATATCAAATAATAAATAAATCTATATAGAAAATAAAATTTTTTTTTCTGGAAATGCATCCCACATACACATGTATGTATATGCATATACCTGTTGTTGTAATAATTGTGTACTTTTTTGTGAGGACACAATTATTGCACAGGAATAACATGAAAAATAATATGAAAAGCATATTTTTTTTTTAAATAATGGGAAAATATGTTTCTCTGTTTTTTCATAACCCAAATAATAACCAAAGTATTTACATACATGGCAGCCATGCACCACCGTTACACATATTGTTTCTGATGTTTGTACATAATAAATGTTATGAATATAAATTCAATATTTTTGTGTACATAGTATAAAACCAAAGTATATATAAAATATTGTAATTATTTCATGCAAAAAAAATAACATAAAAATATTACAAACCTAATTTATGCGGCTTATATCCAGGCAAATGTGTTGATCCCGGCCATGTATCTTCAGTTGGTGTACCCAATAATTTAAAAATTTTATCAAGTTGATCATATGTATCACGTATGCCAGGGAATGTTGGCATTCCAGTAACCATTTCAACAAATATACAACCTACACCCCACATATCTAACGACGTTGAATATTCTGTACTACCCAGTAAAACATCTGAAAAATTAGTAATTAAAATTGAAATGAGAATAATTATTGATAAATTTTATATTAGAATTTTATTTTAAAAAATTAAATAATCAGATTTGACTTAATGTTGCAATATTTTATTGTTATATAAATTATTTAACTTTTATACAAAATTTATTTTATCTTGCAAGATTTTCTAGAAATTAAAGTATCCTATATAATTACATAAAAATCATTTACGCTTCCCTATCATTAAGAATGCATTTCAATCGAAAACTCTTGATGCCATAACATAATCTCCCTCATTGATTGCAATGCGGTCGGCAATAATATTTTTTTTTGGTTTAGATAGCATTCTTAAATCACAATATGTAAATTAAAATATGCTTTGCATAAAAAAAATTTTTTTACCACAAAATAAATTTGGAGGTAGGTTAACCTCTAAAAGGATTCATCAATACAAATTCTTGAGATTTATGATTTCCAAAAAAAGAAAATCAGATTTATAATTTTTTCTCATTATGTTATGTAATAATTTTAAAGTGCTGGCAATACTATTGTCATTATCTAAAACAAAGTGAGTTTATTTCGAATATTTCCAGAGTAAGAACGGGAAACGTAATATTGGAAACAATTCCTTCTAACTTGAAAATTTCATTATATGCAATATGCACTTTCATATATCCTATAAATTGATATTCAATAACTTTTTTCTCAGTCCGCGTTTGATGAATAGAGAAGGATTCCAAATGAGACCTTGGAAACTATATCTTAACTACAGAGATTTGGGCATATTTTCAACGGTGTAATATTCTAATATAATTACAAATAATTTCTGTATAATACACGTTTAAGCCTGTTAAAACTATGAGTTCCTCATATCTTAACTACCATTAAATTTAAATTGATAAATTTCATTGAATTTATTTACTTAATTAATAATTTATTTCGGTAATACAAAATATGCGTCCGACAAATTAAATAAAAAAAATTTATTTACTTAAATGAAAAGTTTATTCCAATATTCTTACAAAATTTATAACTACATACATACATACATAGGCAATTTTTAATGAAAAATTTATAGCCATTTAAATTGAAATTTGTCAAATTAAAAATGAAATGAAATTCTTTTCAACTCTTTATAAATATTTGAAATTTCTAATTAAAATGAATTTATAAATATATATATATATATATATTTCCTTACATACATATTGCAGATATATATATTTTCCTTGTGTATATGTATATTGTATATCGATTTATAATTGGCACTCTTCACAAATAATAACTTTAACATAAAGAAAAATTGTAATGAAAGAGAAATTGAAAATTTCCTCAAAATGACCTAAATAATAAATAATTAATTAATACAATTGTATTTTCTTATAATACTGGTGTGTTGTTTCCACCATTATAAAAATTAACTCAGATTTTTATTATCAATTATATAATAATAGAATGATTTGTGTTTATTAGGATAATGATTGTATAACAATAATGGAAACAAATACATTTACAAATACATTAAAAAATGTGTTCCAATTTCTGAGAGAAAAAAAAAAACAAAACAGTGCAAAGTACTTATATACATAGTATATATTTTTTTGTTCTCTTTAAATATTAATTCAATTCAAATTAAATTAGAGTATAACAAACTATAGTAGGTATAACAATTTAAATTTTTATATTCCATTTTGATTCGATATTTCTACAACTATATTATAAAATATCCAGATCTATATTTAAAACATAATATAACAGAAGCACATAACTATTATACAGAGAATAGTACATTTTTCTTGATCTGAAAATCTCATTAATTCGCCCTATTTTTCCTACATAAAGCAGTTTACTTTTTAAACAATTGGATGTTTTTTTTTTTATTCTTTGCTCGTTTTTCATCCTTTTTTCTTCTCGTTTGCTTATTATTTCTGTTTTATTGTTTCTTTTAAAAAGGATAATAATAAAAGTTAGAAGACAATAAAAAAAAATTTTTTTTTTTATAAAATAATTTACATTACAAAAATTTTGAACTTTAGACTTTCTACCAAAAAAAATAACAAAATATAAGAGAATTTTTAAGAGGAAAATTCAAAAAAATCTGCGATACATAGATATATATATATATATATATGGTGTAGATATATATATATATATATATATATGATGTATATACAGTAATACCCCGCACTTACGTACCCTTTGGGACCGGAGCGTGTACGTAAAACAAAAATGTACGTAGAATGAATCTACTACTTTATTGATGAATAATATGTTTGAAACAAACTAAAACAATAAATATATAAATAAAAAGAAAAAGAGGGATATTATGTATGCAGTTTTATACTTTTATTTCATACGTTTTTATACTATATTTAACACTTAACGTGTATTAAAAAAAACAAAACAAAAAACAAATGCATATACATATATAAATATCAAACAAAACTGAAATATAAAACATAAACTTCAAAATTCATCAATACATAATTTAAATATAAATAAAAACACGTTGTTACAAGTGTACATTCTCAATTTGGTATACATAATTTTTTTTTCCATAAATTTCAAAGCCAGAAAGAATGTACTTGTACGTAAGTGTGAATCATTGTACGTATAATGGGCAATTGGGGACAAAAATGAGATGTACGTAAGTGCGAGGGTACGTAAAACGAGCGTACGTAACACGGGGTATTACTGTATACACAATGTACGTAAATAACTGTTGGGTTCCATTAATAAAGAATATTTGAAAAAAAAAAAATTTTATTTTAAAAGTCATAGTATAAGAGAGCACTGCTACGTAACTCTTACGTTGTTATACAAAAGAATTTTTTGAATATAACAATAGGAATAAGAAGAAAAATTATGAATTTTTAAATTAAAAATAAAATTTATAAAAAAAAATATTTTTTGCAAGAAAATATTTTTTTTAATAACTTCATTTTTTTTTTAATAGGTTCTACTAAGCATCTATGTATGCTAGCATCTATCTAGCGCTATTCTAATTGCATATTTTATTAATTTTATTCTATATGTTTAAATAATTGTTCTAAATAATATTTTTTATTTTGAACTTAAATTGTTTCCTAAAATAATAAAAATTTCATTACATTTCATTGTAATTAAATAGTCAAAAACAGAATTGCTTCTTTGATATTTAAAAAAATGCGACAAATCACGGCTAAAATTTGCCAACAATTGCAGTACATTTTTGTTAAATTTTTGAAATTCATTTAAAATTTTAATATTACTTCAATAATTATATTAGAAATTTGAATTTTAAATATTAATACACTTTTGGATTCGTTTTAACTTTTTAGTCGTCAGATCACATCGGAAACGGGATATTTTAAAAGGGATATACAAGTATATATAGTACGACAAAAGCACTTTTTCAACTTCAAGATTGTACTGCGTATACTAAAATACTAACATAGTATTTTAATATACGCAATACAAAATTTAGAACATAAAGAATAGAAATATTAAATGAATACATAAAAGTAAATTTAAAAGTTTATTATTTTGGAGATTAATGACTTTGTAATGGGTGCTATTACAAACTCTTGACACTCTGGACAAAAACCATTATTTAGATCAATATGATTAATGTTATATATTTTTAATACAAGTGCCATTTAAAAGCTACTATGAAGGGCAATATTCATATTTTAAAATTTTTTTATAAAATTAATTTAGTACAATTTCCAAAGTCTTTCTAAAATACATAATTTATATATGTATTAATGTTCATAATGATGTTTCTAATTTATAGTTCATAATCCAAAACAATACAAACACTATATGAGTGTCACATACCCTATGCACCTTGTACACGTAAAATTGTCAAAAATGTTTAAGTAAATTCACAAAGGTTATGAATATTTGCAAAACTTTTTATGAAATTTCCAAAGTTTTTTTTAAAGTTTAAATATTTTGAACTTCTGAATTCTTTTCAATATAGTTTTAATTTAAAATATTTTTCTTTTTTAATTAATTTATGGAAAAAAAAATGAATAGAGAATAATTTCTTTTTTGTTTCCTTTCTTCTCTTTACACAAACAATTCGCACGCTTTGGCGCATTTTGACAAAAGATAAGAATTTTAATTATAAAAAAATTTATGAAATTTTTTATTTTAAAATAAGCGAACAATAATGAAATTTATTTCATGTAGCTGAATAAAAACTTAAAAAATATTTTAAAAATGCAATTTAATTTTCACAATTAATATTCATTAATATTTTAGTACATTTGCAATTGTAAATCATAATAATGTAAAATTAGCAGTATGAGTACATTGTAGTGTAATGCAACATGGAATAAAATGGTATCTATCACTCTTACAAAATTATTCATTAGATGACAATACCAGTAAAGTTCGAAATAAAATAGACTCAACTGGAAATGTCAATAAAGTAATAATATTTACTTTTTAATTTATAATTAAATCATTGTTTAGTTTTATTGAGTTGTTATTGAGTTACTTTCATTGTTCAGTTTGTGTTATAACAGTCCATGTTATTGAGAGGATACTATTTACGTATTAATAATGGATAGTTATGTGAAATAATATTAGAACGAAATTTATTCAAGAGAAATATTTTTAAAACAGGAGAAAATCTGCAAAAATTCAGTACTTTTTCGTAAGAAATTTGCTTAAACCATGGAGTTAATTTTTTAAAGAGAAGATTATTTTCCATAATTCTCTCATAAATTCACGGAAAAAAATTATAATCCTATTTGAAATATGTACTCAATTTTTACGATTTAAAACCTTGAATTATAAAAATGTTATTCAAAACCCAATTAATTATAAAACTTTTTCATTATACCTCGTATTCTAACAACAAAATATACATTAATTTAATAGGGCACTATTAAATTTACAAATGAATGGTACCAGAAAGAAAAATAATTTTCTTTAACAGAATTTTTATTTTTTATAATAGCAACTAAAATTAGAATAAAAATCAGTTTTTTTCCTTTTTTAAGGTTAAAGTTCGAATTTATCAACAGGAGTGAGACATTTAAATAACAATAGATGTTATAAGAAAGGATTTGAGAAAACAAAAATAAAAGAGAGAAAAAATCTTTTAATGCATTTGTCACATTCTATCATCAGGCACATTAAATATTTAAAAAATATGTTAATTTACTAGTATAATTAAATCAATTCAATTCTTTTCAATTTCCTTACAAAACGAAATAAATAAAAAACAACAAGAAAATAAAATTTAATAAAAAAAAAAATTTATATTTGCATTTAAAAAAAAAAGAAGTAAAACTGTTATACTCATAAATATTATAATGAATTCCTATTCAACTTTTATAAATTATAAGATACTGGCCCACATAGTTTAGGTACTTTTATGTAGAAAAACATTGAAGAATATTAAGGAATATGTAAATTTTTTTTGGAAAATATACGAGTTTGAAATAAGATATACAAAAAATTATATAAAGTTTATTTACAAAAAAAGCTATAAAAATTGTGTGGGTTTATAAAAAAATTTTTTGAATTGAGGAACCAAAATTTCGTCAGTGAATTTTTATGAAATATTAAACATTATAATGATTATGGCATTTGATCATTGGTGCAGTGGTTATGGCACCGGTCCTTTATCCGAAGGGTCTCGACCCCGGTCAGGTCACTATAAAAATTATATTCAATATTATTATAACTTAATATACATTACTAATAAATATTATACAAGTAATTTTGAAATATTCATAATATTCGATATTAAAAAGAAAAAAAAACTAAGAAAAATAAACAGTTAATATTAATAACCTCAAAATAATTGTAATATAAATAAAACTGCAGCAGGCTAGTCACCTACCTAGGTAAACTGTATGACGCTATGAAACTAGTGCATGATATCATGCACAAGCCCTATGCTCCCTCTAGGAGTGAATAAGGAGAAAACAAAAAAAAAATAATGATTATGGAATCAAAATATATGTACAATGTAGAAATTGAGAGAGAGAGGTAGAACTAGAACACTGTCTAAAAAGCAGTACTTAAATATTAAGTAAGTTGCGTTTCAAAAAACATCTTTTAATTAAATCTTAACTATTTAGTTATAATATTTAGTTTAGTTTATTCAAAATGCTTAGCAACAATATTAGTGAATTAATGGGAATCGATAAGAAAAAAATAAGCTGTGTTAGTTAATATTCTTCTTCTAATTCGAAATCCAAAAAAGTAATTTAGGAAATTTGCATTTTTAACTTGATATAGAAAAAATTTGTTTTATATTTCTTGCTACACCACACTGTATTCGATCCACATTGGAATAAAAATTTTGGCAAAACTGAAATACCTGAATGTCATTTTCTCTTATACAATTCTTAAGCGATATCTCTCTCAGAGAGCTGGGGTTCATATTATAGCATTAAAAGTTTTAAAGGTGTTTTCATTATTCAATTGTAAATGTATTGTATACAGCTAACACACACGAACACTATATCAGTATACGTAAGAGTTAATTGTGTCAATGGCAAAATAAAACAAAAATTGAATTTATGTATTGGGCAAGACATTGTAGGGCTTAAAATACAAAATTTTCGCATGATCAAATGTTATAGGAAACCAACAACACTCATAAGGTTAAGAAAAAATATTGCAAATCTTATAATAGAGTTATGTTTAATATTTTTTTAAGCAAATCTCAAAAATTTTAACATAAATTTAAAAATTTTAAATTTCATTAAATTTAAATTTCAATGTCAACATTAAATTAAAACTATATAGGGAATTATTTAAAAATATTCATGTACCGTATAAATAAATTATGCATGTATATTTAAAAATATAACTATAATAAAAAAAAAAAAATTAAAAAAAAAAAAAAAAATCACAGTTGAAAAACTTTTATGAATTGCTGTTAAAAATGGCCTTGCCAGATTTTTGTCATCGTCATTATCACTAATCATCATCATCATCATCTCATCATCAGTAAGCAAATGAATTTCATACTAGCACAACACACAACCCAACTTATGTGAATTGCAAATTCATATAATTTAGAAATGATAAAATAAAAAAAGAAAAGAAAAACAAACACTCAAATGTAAAATATGTATGTATGTATGTATGTATGTAAAAAAAAATTAGAGAAAAACCCGTAATAGCATAAAAATTTCTCATTGAATAAATTTTTCATTAGAACGCAAATGAGATTGTTATGCTCATAAATATTATAATAATAATAAAATAAACATGTATGTATGTACGTATGTATGCTTGATAATTCAACAAACAACTACAATGTATTCTTATATCCTTAAATATGTATAATATGCATGTATATTAAAATAAATGCATTCATAATCTAAGAAGGGCTATTCATATTTATATACATATGTAATATGTATGTGTATATACCTACTTAGAAATGTAAAAGGAAGATAATATTTTCAAGTGGGATTTGTTTTGACTACGATAATAAATTACTCATACTTAGTATTGTTATTATTGTTTCATCCTAGCTGCTTATAGCCCTTCGTATTTTTTGTTTTTGTTTTTCTCGGAATTCAGATGTCGCCTAATGATATGCAATTTTTTTTTCTTTGCTTTTTTTTTTCTCCATTAGAAGAGAGATTGTTTTTCTATTAGGTGTGTTTTTTTTTTTTTGTTTTCTCTTATTTTTGAACAAAAAATTCTAATTTATAAATTTATTGTACGTAAATGATAAAAAAATATATGAAAAAAATTTCTATAGAAATTTTTTGTAAGGCACATATACACCAACATGATCGTGTTTATATTTGTGCATAATGTTAAACACAAGTATACGACTAAAATTTTGTTTATACTTTGATAAGAATTTCATTTAAATTTTCGAGGACCTATAAAATGTAAATATAATTTGAATATTTAGCCTTATGTTTAAACTTGCTGTTGATTATTAATAAATTTTTGACCAATATTGCCTCTGCATCATATTGCAAATTTTGTATTTAAAAATATAATGTAAATCACAGAAAGAATGAGGTTTTAAATAAAAAATATGAAGATTTTTTAATTTATGGCTTATTACTCAAGCTCCTAAACAGTTTTCTCAAAAGACAAAAAATTATAAAGTTATTGCAACACCAATATTATTAAATTTATATTTATATAGCAATATATTATATTATAATTAATTTTTAATTAAAAAAAAAAATTACCTGGTGGACGATACCATAACGTTACTACTTCATGAGAATACGTATGGCTTGGAACACTTTTAGCTCTTGCCAAACCAAAATCGGCAAGTTTTAATTCACCTATTTCGCTTATAAGTAAATTTTGAGGCTTAACATCACGATGTAAAACTCTTCGTTTATGGCAGTAGGATAAACCACGTAACAATTGAAATAAAAATAATCGAACATTTCGAAAATCTAAACCACCAGGATGCTTTTCCATATATTGCGATAAATCGGTATTCTATAAAAGAAAATATAAAAATGTAAGAAAAAAAAAATGTTCAAAAGAATTGTGAATTGTATAAAGAAAAAATTTAAAAAAATCTGAGAAAATACTTACAACATATTCAAAAACAAAAGTTAAAGTTTCGCGGGTATGTACAATATCATGTAATGTTACAATATTTGCATGTTTCAGTTCTTTTAATAGCGAGGCCTCACGGATTGCTGTAAATGGTGCACCTTCTTCCTCTTGCAGTCTAATTTCTTTTAAAGCAACTACTTGATGAGTTAAACTGAAAAATATATGAAAGAAAAAATGGAAATTGAATAAGTTAAAAAAAAAAATTTCATTTCAAGAGTCAAGATCGATTAAATTATTTGAACTGAAAGGAAGGATTTCAAGATTGATTTCCTAAACCGAAATCAGTACAAATATATTTTGAAAATTAGTTCAAGGAATTCGTAAGCAAAACTCTGAAAACTCATTGCAATGATTGAAAATTAACCTAATCCGCACCTGAATGATCATAAACACCCAAAACTATTCAAACTGACTGATCATTAGTTTTGCTGTAGACGCGAAAGTGCTGTCATAGCACGTTAGGCTTAATCGAAAAGTCTCGTTTGGTTCGGTCTTTTTATTTCAATTCTCTCCCTTATAGGCCGAAAAGCCTCGTCATTTACATACTGTTACAAACTCGCAATATTTTTCAATGCACAGTTCCTTATTTCCTCACTTACTTGGTTTGATATTGAATAAAAATTCAATTTAAAATTTAATTTAACTAACAAAGACAAATTGATGAATAACGAAGAATAATAATAACAATAAAACAAAAGTTTTTATTCAAAACATACTTAGATAAAACGAAAATCCTTGCACACATACATACGTAAAAAAAATAATTCTGAACCAATTAAATTTGATTTAAATCACTTTATGTAAGTCAATAAAAAACGTGATCAAAAATTTAAATAATCTAATGAACGCCATTTATATTTTACCAAAACACCTGATGATTTCTTACAGTTTTTTTGTTTTTTTTTTTTTCCCCCTCTGCTTTACAACAATAAGCGAATACATACATTATTATTATAATATTAAAGTCTCTTCCTTCTACCATACTTTCGATTCGATTCTAGTGTGTTCAATAAATTTTTAATGGGGCCATAAAATTATATGGCAATTACAGGTTAACTACATATATAAAGAAAAATATAAAATATACACGCGCCTTAATATCCTTATACACACATTATAAAATTCTATGTATGCACATACAAACAAACATTATTGTTTGTACAAAATCAGAGATTTCCTTGTGCTCCGATCATATTGTGCGTATTGTATGTATGTTTCAATGAAAATTTAAGGAATCGAATATATTTCCAATATATTATTGGAATTTTGTTGTTGGTAACATTTTGTAGATCTAACCAGTGAATTATAAAAAAATAAACAAATAGTGATAAAGTTTTAGGAACTTTTTGTGAAACCACATAAACAAAATCAGATATAGTAATTTTTTTTTGTACTTTTTTGGTTTTACATAGAAAACACAAACAAATAAACTTTACATGTATACGAAAATTATTTAATCCTTTTTAAGAATAACAAATATGTAAAACAAAGAAAAAATTTACCCAAATCAAAACCAAATTTAACAACACAAAAAAAAAAGTTTTTCCAACATTTTTAGTCCTTTCAAAACCAATAAATCAATTCATTTTGTTATTTTAATATTTTTTATATTTTTTGGAACAAATATAATAAGTTTTAGGTCATTCTATACTCAATTCATATAGACAGTTATATAGAATCAGGACATTCGAGTGGTAGATAAAGTGAACTGAAAGTTAAATATAAAATTATTGCCTTCATATAAACTAAATTTAATTCAATGAATCTTTTATTACAAAAAATATTTAGTATTTGTAAGTATTATACACTTTTGTTGGCAATAACTTTGGATAGAGAGTTTTGATTATTATAAAAATGAACAAAAATCTTTTGTAATAATAATTCGGCCGAAAGGATTCACTTGTTTTCAACATTTTTTATTTCTAATGAACTGAAGTCACACAATTGAAGTATAACTTGAATTGAAACTGAATTTTCTATTTAACTGAAAGTTCACAAAAAATCTAGATATTTTGGATTTGAAATAATCAATGTAGCTGTGTTTAAGGTAATCATACTTTAAACCTGGGACATTAATTTGATATGTGCTATTATTGTTACGGTTCTGAAATTTAATATTAACTTTGTCAATATTCTTTCATTTTCTCGTTCATGTAATCTCTCTAATAAAACAAGAATATTTCAATTTTTCTTGGTGATTAAGGCTTAGTAAGTGTGCGCACTTCTTGAGTATATCAATAAAATTTGAAGAGCATTTTAAATTGACAATAGTTTGGAGACCGTAAATGACTGTATGACTGTATACACTGTTGAACAGTTTTAATATTATATTCAATAGAATGTTGTCAGTAGAACTTTTAAAAACAAAAACCTTATAAACTTTGTAAAATATTATAAACTACATTTTTAGTCATCTGCTCACATTAATGCTAAATAACATGTTCTTGTATTTCAAATCCTGCTAAACGTAAATTAATTTTTGATAAGGTGAAGTTTTTGTTACTCTTAATTCTTAATAAACAAGAAAATGTGTGTATATATTTGCGTAAATATATAGAATCAAAACAAATACAATTAATACATTTAACAATGTTTTTAAACATCATATTGTTTAAAAACACATACTTTTATATATTAAAAGGTATAACAAATTTTTTCCTAAGTAAATTGTTCAAAGCTCTTTTTCATCATTTTTCAATAGTCCCTGTTTCAAATTTTCAAAATTTTTACATTGTTACATTTGATATCCTTATTGTTTGGTCTCCACTTATTCTACGTTAAAAAACCTATATTTTCTAATTTTCTGCATTTTATACAACGTACTTATACAGGGTGTTTCCACGCATAAGGTGAAAAATAATTTAAGGGATGATTCTTTAATCAATTTCAAGCAAAAAATTGTATGGCTGTGGAAATTCTGACTTTGACGAACTTTATCTCAAAAACTATGACTCAAATCAAATTAATTGTAAAACTGAAAATTAAGAGCAATGGATTGCCTGTGAAACCAGCTCCCGATGGCTACTCTATGTCGTATGTTTGTGAAGTTATAAGAATTTATTTACATACACAAAAAATGTGGTACATTTTTTCGCACTCCCCTGCCGCCAACCCATAAAATTTCTGAGTCGGCACAATATACTGAGATATATAAACTATATTTGTTTACAAAAAATATCCTGCAACTATTCTTATAATATTTGTATGTACGTAGCCATGTATTTAAAAAATATTTTATTGTATTTGTTGTGTAAGTTTCGAAGATTTTTTAAATATTTTACTTGTTATATGTTAACACACGTATACACATTTGTATGTGTAAATTTGGAAAGGACAAAGTTAAATAATAATATAAGAGATCAGATAACTAATGGTAACGGAACTTCAAATATTTATAAAAAATATATGAGTGCACAAACACATATTCACACATACAATTTAGGTTTGTACACGTTCTTGTATAAAAATAAAACATTTCCGTTTTTAGTTTTTCACTTTTTTTTTTCTTTTACCTTAGTTTTGTTTTTATTTTTTTCCCAATAGAGAGGATGCTAGAGATTTGTTTGTACAATACATTTTTCTCTTCTTTTTTCTTTTGGAATTTCTCTTTAATTTTTTTTGTTTTTTTTTTCCTAAAATTTCGAAAACAAAATAAGATTGGAAAATAAAAATTAATGTGGAAAAATTTATAGAAAATTTAATAAATTTATTTATTGACGTCAGAGAGGATTAAAAAATTTATTGAGAGTATATGGAGGGAAGAAACAAAAAAAAAATTATAAGTTCAAATCAATGGTTTGAAAAGAACGAGAAGAAAAAATAAAACATTGTTTTTTTTGTAATTCTCTTTAGGGGTTATTAATTGTTGAATACAATTCTCTTTAGGAACATGTTTATGAAATATGGAGTGAGAGAGAGAGAGATAGAGAAAGAATATAAAATAAAATATTCGACAGTGGTATGGAATGAGTTTCTTAGAAAAACATTCTTCGTTTCCTGGGGCTTTTCTTTAAAATAAATAATATAGAAAAAAGTCAAGAAACAGTACCTTAAAATTCTAAGAAAATTTATGACATTATGTCCTTTGTATAAAGAGGCAGCAGCAAGTATGCCTTCAAAATAAATTAATTTTTTAAAAAATAAAAAAAAAAATTCTTAAAATTAAAACAGTTAAACATCATAATACTGGGGGCGATATTTTTGGAAATATTTTGGAAATCTTATATTCTATTTCAATTTTTAAAAATAAAAATTTCAAAAAAAAAAAAAAAAACACGAATAAAGGACGGGACGGCATTTAGTCAAACAAGAAAAATTAATTAATTTTCAATTTTTTCAGTTCTGTCAAAAAAATGTGATAAAAATTTTTAAATTAGAAATTTCTTTACAGCCTGTACTTATACCTTTATATCCCCCCCCCCTTTTTTCGTTTTAAGTTTCTTCGTGTTTTGATTACACTGCAATTGCATTTGTAATTTTAATTCCTTTATATCGTATAATCCAAATTGATTTAAAAATTATTGCATTGGAAATTTTGTATTTAAAAAAAAAATGTCATGAAAATTGATTGATGGCGATTACATAATATTTTTGGATTTTTGTTTGTGTAGTTTAAAAACTGTTTGCCATTAATTCCAAATTCAATTCACGTTAATTTTTATTTTTTTTTTGGGTATACATGATTTTAAATTCTGCTTCAAGAGAACCCGAAAATTAATTTCAGTTTTTTTTTTCAATAGCATTCATTTTTGTTAATGCACTTAATGTCCTTGTACATAAAATTTGCATATCACGTGATTTGTATTTTAAATTAATTTTAAATTTCATTTTTATATTGTTTATGTACAGATGTATGTATGTATGTATGCATTACAAAATTTGAAACAAATGGAAATGTAAATTTTTCGTTATTTCGTTTTTAATATTGGCATTTAAGTTTAATATTTATGAAGAGGGTTAGAGTTTTAGTTAAAATAAATTCGCCAAAAAATAAATGCGTCATTGCGTAGGGTATATGAAATGGGAGAGAAATTGCAGAAAATTCCAGAAGAATATGATAAAACATTTTACAACAGGAATATGCGTATAGTTTTTTAAAAATCTTTCAATTTTTGAGAATTTTCCTTTTTTTTTTTGATAATTTTTGAGTAT